ATGTTCAAACAGGGGGCACCCAACATCTATAGAGAGGGTTTCAAAGGGAAGGTCATGCAGTTGGACCCAGACCTCTATGGTGTGGATGTTCCATGAGTATTGGGGCCTACTTGAGACCCAAGGTTCCATTAGGATCCACTGACCATTCAGAGTCCATGGGCCTCCATTCCAGATTTCATTATAGTCTGCAGCATACCGAAAATTTAACCTGAAATGGGCATGGTGAAAAGGAGCAAGTAAAAGGCGATCGGAGTTGAGGTTCCAAAGATCATAAAGGCCTTGAATGATGTCATTAAACTAGTCTGTTAGGCGGGGAAAAAGTCAATGGATGAGAGAGAGGTTCCAGGCTTCATGGACGTTTGGAGGGATCAAGGGTTGGATGTTTACAACTTCCATAGGACCTTGATCGTTACCTTGAAGCATATTTTCAAAGGCCTGGTTAAGAGCGTCCATGTTATCCATTAGAGATTGGATGACAGAGGTGCAAAGAGAATTGCAGAAGGAAGATGGTGGAGGGCAAGGAGACGGAGAGAAGGTTAGAGGAAATAGAGAAGAAGAACAGGAAAGAAATATACTCGGAGATTCGAGACATAAAGGTGAAATAAATGAAAACTATTTAAAGCCAAAGACAGAATTAAAACCCAACTAAAAAGCAACGAGAAAATGAACCAGAACCAACCAAGAAAGATAAAACTGTAACTAAACAAGAGAGAAAAAGTTCAAGATACATCCTGATAAAACTTAGTTAATTCGATGTGAGAAGTGGTAGCAACGTTTCTTACACGAGAGCGAAGAGGCAAAGGTGGACTCTACTCTGAGAGAACTGAGGTGAGTGTCAAATCCTACCACTAGACTTTAAGACGAGAAGTCGTTGGTTGTAAATGCACGTGAGACCAACTGTCTCCACAAAACTGCATGAGAAAATCTTCAAACAACTACCATAATTACAAGATAGCAGATCATAAATGGTAGAACGGTTTGTTGATTGTGCTTCTGTAACAGAGGTTACAAGGCCACTAGGAATGGAAATCAATAACATCAAATCCCTTCTTCTATTGAGCAAAAATTCATATGGTATCGCACCTCTTGGATCTTCATCTTCTCTCCCCTAACTTGAAGGGTGCTCTAACACTTGTTGTAACAGAGATCTACAAGGACACAACTATAACATGTTAGGACTTAGGAGGGGTTCTGATGTTTAAACCAATAGAATCCCCCCTCTCCCCATTCAGTGTTTTACTCTTGGAAGTTGGAAGCTTCTCTTCCACCATGAAAAGGCAAATTAGATTGGGCTTGGGTGGCATATTATAAGCTCACATGGTAGTAGAAAATATTCGATAGTAGTAGAATAATATAATAATTATTGAGAGGGAGACTCTAGGATTATCATCAATGGTGTGAAAGGTCATGAATAGCCTAGCCTCCATGGAACATCACCTGGCCTGCTATGAGGTCTGTCGAAGAAGCAACAACTTAATGGAAGTGCATGTGTCATAGATTGAATGGAAGTGCATGTGTCGTAGATTGAATGGAAGTGCAAGGAGATCAATCATAAAAATAGCCAATAAGTATGGTTTTCAACACGTGTAAGGGCCATGTGACTCAATGACCATGTTTCATAATATCGATTTGGATCAACTTCCAACCTTCTATCTCACAAAAATTCAATTGACTTTGTGAATGATCCATCGATTTAAGCAACCATTGATGACTTTTTGGTCCATTCACTGAGTTACTGGCTTTTTGTATTATTTTCTACGTGATGATTCAACCAAATAGGGATGGCAATCTTCCCCATCCCCAATGGGACCCGACTTTCCCAACTCGATGGGGTCGAGAATGGGATTGCTTTGGCTGAATGGGGACGGGGATGAATAGGAATTCGCAATCGGGGTCAGGGTTGGGATGGGGGTTGAGATCCCCACCCCACCCTGACCCCGATCTGATTTGGTTGTCAAAAATTGAATATATATATATATATATATATATATATATATATTTGGATTTTATAGGCTTTTCACCAAATATAGCTTCTAGATTTTTCATGTAATGCCTACCTTGCAAAGAGAAATGCTGCTGTGTGAAAGCTTACTTTTTTTTTGACACCTAAAGGCAAGTTCATTCTTAAATGCTCAGGTTACAAAGTAGAAAAATTAACAACAATGAAGAATACATCCAAAAAAGCATGTTAAGCATAATGAGACAAAAAAATAGGTAACCATGAGCACCGGGAGAAAAAAAACTTAAGAAATCTCTACAACTGACGCAAATTTAAGAAACGCCACAAAGGTTGTCTAAATGCCTCCAACAGAGATGAAGTTAGCAAGTGTGTCTCCCTACCAAATGAGCGAGTCAGGATCAGCTACGCAAAACCCTCAAGAGGTATAGGGAAAACATGTACCATAGCACCCAATCCATGGCATAATTGAAAACGTGAAAGCGGGAGAGGCCCAAGATCGCCTCCTATTACAAAACTCTCCCTAACGCTCCACCGTCCAAATATTTAGGGATTGCAATTTTCCCCATCCCCTATAGGGACCCGACTTTCCCGACCTGATTGTGTCAGGAGTGGGGATTGTTTTGACGAGGTGGGGATGGGGATTGAGGTCCCCACCCCGCCTCGACCCCGATTATATATATGAAATATATATTATTATATTATTTATATTATATATATCAAAATATATTTAAAATATTATTTATAATTTAAAATTTGTATTTATTTTAAGTAAATTTATTTTTCAAAAAAAAACTATTATCTAAAAATATTTTAGGGTTAATTTTAGAATCGGGGTCAGGGATGGGGAATATGACCCTTGCCTCGTTGTCATTCCTACAAATATTCAAGGAATGGGCCCTACAGAAAGCCAAGAGTGCACAAAAGAAGTTATTACTTGTAACTGTAGGAACATAAAATGTGAAAAAAAAACACCCATCCATGTCGTTATAGAAACTAAAACATTTGGAGCTTGAAAGTCGCTGGAGAAAAATCAAAGGTCGCTAGAAAAAGGCTTGCTAGGAACGATAACATCGTTACAAAACAAATTGATACCCATGGCAGACCCCAAAGGCACACCACACACAAATTCGACCAAGGCCCAACAAAAATAAGAAAAAGAGCAGAGGGAAAACGAATATTAGAATGAATAGAACCAAAGATCCCTAGTCTTCTCCATTGGCTTGGATCAAAACCATTGTCTCTCAAATTTGTCCAACGAACCTCTCTAACAAACACTGATATGAAGAGAAATAAATGAAAACTCACATCCATAGATGTGAGAGAGAAACCCTCCCCTGAAAGAGAAACTCACATCCATAGATGTGAGAGAGAAACCGTCCCCCAAAAGAGAAACCCTCATGTAGAGAAAAACCATCCCACCTAGAGAAAGACCCTTACGTAGAAAGCGTGTGAAAGCTTACTAAACAGGCACTAAAACACTAATTCTTAATGGCACATTCATATGAGTTTGGAAAAGCCTTTAACCTATTGGGCTGAAGTTATTAGTGAGGTCCTTGAATAGATCTTTATTCTCTACAAGTCTTGACCCATACCCATTCAAAATGTTAAAATTGTCTATCAATTGTGACGTGGAAAGTCACTCTGTCATAGTTCAACCTTGTAAATTGGCCCAACTCTAACAACATAGGTATAGGTGTCCTATTATCAGAGAGTGGAAGAATCCCAACTTGATTATTATGACCATCACATTCGCAAGAGCCATTTCAGATGTGCCGACTGTCAAAATATGCTAAACACTCAAAATAAATAAGAAAAAATTCCAATTAGTACCCTGTACTTTGGGCCTAGTGCCATTTTGGTCCCCAAACTTTAAAATGCGACAATTCAGTATCCAAACTTTTAAAATGTGACAATCCAATACTCGTCCTTAACTAGTTGTTAACTAGTCATTAAGTGGCATTTAAAAAAGATACAAATGCCCTTCAAGTGTTATTTAATTTTCTTTATCAACCATCTAAACGTTGACAAAAACTTAACAGTCCCAAACTTAACAGTACATTTTCCTTTCTGCAAATACATTGAGAAAGTGCGTATAAAGATGCACCACTCGAATTTTCTTTGCATTTTCCTTCGTGTCCGAATCCTCTATACATCATACATAGTTTAGATATAGGCGAATCATGATATGTTACAACAGTTTGATTTGTGAGACCCACCTCTAAACATGGGACTTACATATTAATTAGATTGATTTAGTATTTTGATTGGCCTAGTATTCTCTCATATTTATTTGGGAAAATTCCTGATTAGTACTTTGTACTTTGGGCCTAGTGCCATTTTGGTCCCTAAACTTTAAAATGCGATAATTCAATACTCAAACTTTTAAAACGTGACAATCTAGTATCTGCTGTTAATTAGTTGTTAATCAGCCGTTAAGTGGTATTTGAAAAAGACACAAATGCCCTTTAAGTGTTATTTAATTTTCTTTATCAACCATCTAAACATTGACAAAAACTTAACAGTCCCAAATCCTTACCTTTTTTATTCAAGAAAGTTGTGGTCACGTTTGAGTGGGCATTCTGTTGACCCCAACTTTCTTGAATAGAAAGGCAAAGATTTAAGACTGTTAATTTTTTTGGCAATATTTGAATGATTGATAAAAAAAAATTGTCAAGCATTTATGTATTTTTCAAATGCCACTCAAACGTGACCTCAAATTTTTTGAATGGAAAAGGTAAGGATTTGGGGCCCCAACTTTCAAATGCCATTCCCATGATCGATCGATCCCATATGCATCACCCGGTTTTAATTACACTATTACCGTGTCTTTTTCTTCATGACTCCATCTCACTCATTTCTCTCTTTTTCTTCAGTTTTTAGACCATGTCTTCGAAGACAGCTCTGGCAACTGGGCAAGTCGCAAGAGTCGATGCCGGCATTCGGCAACAAGAAGAGAGCATCAACTGTGTTTTAGTAGTAACTGATCATCAGTCACAGTACTATATAAATAGACGAAAAAAGATTAAGAAATGCTAATTAATTAAGACATATATATATATAGGCTAGCCTATCTCCATTATTGTACATACATGATACAAAATTGTATATGTTTATGTTTGTAAAATATTGTACAGTGACCGAAATTAAAATTTATTGATCCTTCCTACGTATCAGAGTAGCTAGAATGGATACATACCATCCTTTTCCGAGCTCTCCATATCAGAGTAACTAGAGTTATTATGGCTACCATGCTTCAAACGTAGCTCATCATCCACACGACTGATACTACTATGAGGACTGTCTTTCTTCCTTCTCTTGTCTCGCAGTTCCCACTTTTTGAGAGTATGCCGTGCCAGCATTACGCCTAGACCGGCGAAGATGGAGATAAAACACCCTGCTCCAATTGATATTAGAGTAACCAACACCCACCTAGTCCCCTTCCCCTTATTGCCAGCAGAAGGCAAGATCACCCATGAGGCTGCTATGTAAGCTGCAGCCATGAACGACACGGATGCCCACATGGTTTTATGGGTCACCACCAATAGTTTGGTCATTGATTTGCGTCTGAATGGGATGACACTGACTAGGACGATGACAATTCCCAGCGACAAGAACAATGCCACATTGTTGCAGACCATGAACACCTTGAATGGGGTTTTCCTTGCCATTGTTGCCTTCCCAATCAAATCCCCATCTTGATAGACACCACCCGGAGGGGTTATTCCACCGGAATATGCCACCGTCGCTATTAATACAGCAACTACCGTTATGGTGTTCCGAACATTGCGTAAACTATCATTGTGGAGTTCTACTTGCTTTTCTCGGCGACCACGTAAATGCCGTCGTCGGCGATGCGAACTGGCAGCAGGTGATTCCAATATCTTCTTTGACCACGAAGATGGCCCATTAAGATTATTTTTTTGCAATGCCCCCGAGTCGTTTTTCTTGGTGGTTTGTTGGACCGCCGGTGACCGTGGTGGCAGTTGATCGCATCTCTTACCACCAGCATCTTCTAACGTAGGTATTAGCGCGAGAGCACCTGAATTGCTGTTACCACTATTCTCGACAACATCAAGAGCCGTTAATCCCTTGCGATTAAGAGCATTCACGTCAATACTTGTCTTATTGACTAGGAACATAACCATCTGTTGTCAACACAAACACACAGTTGATTATATATATGCATGACAAATTAATTTAAGACACAGTGAAGTCAAGCTAGCTAGCTAGGAGGTGTATATATATCTTAATTACGTACTCCTCTCAGCTTTCCGGCAGAGGCAATATGCAAGATGGTGTTTCCGTCGTTGTCCGGAAAGTTTAGAAGGTCGGCGACGTCAAGGTTCTCGACCAAGTACCGGATAGCATCGTACTGGTTATTTCTGACGGCAACATGTAGCACGGTTTCTCCATATTTGGTTACCATCTTGGCAGATTGGAGGCTTGTTGAAAGGATTTCATCAATGATACCGACTTTTCCTTTGATTGCAGCAGAATGGAGAGGAGTTCTTCCCTCGTTGTCTTGGAGGGAGGAGAGATCGGGGTCAAGCCTTAGAAACTCTCTTGTTACCTCTAAGTGACCTTTGCTACAAGCTAGGTGCAATGGAGAACATCCTTGCAGGTCCCTTTTCTGTGCAAAATCTGGGCGTGCATTTAGTAGTTCTTTCACAATCTCTGCATCCCATCCCCATCTGGTGAGCATTAACATGCATGGTTCTTGATCCAAAAGAAAACGGGACAAAAAGAAAAATTCTTTTAGGTAGAAGAGAATGGTGCCAGACTGCCAGTAGGTAGTAGGCTTCGGCCCAAGGAGTTATGGGCGCGCTATATATACATCTAGGGTGTCAATGGACCGGTTTTGGATTGGACCCGTTCAAACCAAAATCAATTTGTTTGGGCGGACCAATAAGACATATTAAATTGGATTAATCCAGACTTAATAGTCCAAAATAATTATTAGATTGGATTGGATAATAAATTGGGTTGGATTGAGCAAAACTTCTAAGAGTGATCAGCCCATTACTAAAGGGGTTTGGGTCCATCAGTTCATGGGCCTTCTGTTTATTGAGACACCATCTTCAAATTGAATTGTATGACTTATTAGTTCCTATTGAGGATCACAGTGGATCCCATCCTGAGGCCCTGACTTTTGTTCATCTTTCTTACAATGACGTGCCTACCTGATCCGGAAGCAAACATTGCTTGCCTCTTTAATATATACAGGTGGCTATTTACCATATTAACCTAAGTTTGACTTGGTCAAACTTACTCCATTTTCATTCAATGGGATGAGCCCCAAACAAAGAAAGTCGCATACAATGGATTACCGAATCAATGAAGATTCTATATATACTGACGTGTTTACTCATGATTGGTTCCATTGCCCATTGTATACGCTGCCTCTAATTTGTAGTTCATCCAGTTCCAGACTAGCTCGGATTTCCTACCCACAGAAACTCTATCCACCTTACCAACATGACATCGGAGCCACATATAGGGAACACGATTATAGTGTTTTGTGGGTATGGTTTTTGTGGGCAGGAGTCTGGAGTCGTTCTTGACTCAGCTATTTACACTTTCGGCCATGATTTCCTGCATGTAACAGCCTTCTACCAAGGCTAGCTGTGCAAGTGAGAGCAGGTTAGGTCGGGTTGAAATCAATCCTAACCCAATCAAAGCTGTGAAACCCTCACTAGTCCAAACCTAACTTTGGGTTTGATTAATTAATGTTGGCCCAATTTTTCTACTTGCACATATACATATATGCCACATGCATATTAAAATGAAGCTAAGTTATGTTTGGGTTGAGTTGGATTGGCCAAAATTTCAACCTGGCCCAACCCAACTCAGGTTAGATTTGGGATAACCCAGCCCAAGTTGCAGCCTATCTAGAGCGAGAGTTACTGCGAGCAGTTTCAACTTTCAATGAGATTAAATTCACGGGGGTAGTGTTGATTGGTCAAATTTATGGTATACGCCTTAGTATGTCTTAACACGTATTACATCCTCTAATATTTATTGTTTAAGTTTATTTTTATGTAAACTAACTTTAAACGACCTTCTAGAAGCAGGAAAAAAAAAAAAACCTTTAAACGGTAATTTACAAATATTTGTTTTATTTTTTATCTTTTATCGGAGAAAACCTAATGCTGCCGGAAAGACATGATACCGGATCGGAAGGGCTTTGATTTTGTTATACCGGTTCGTGGATTCCTAGTTTTGAGTTAAATCGTAACGGACGGTTGAATCCTTCTTCAAGGGATATCCATGAACCAGTCAAACGAAAGAAAGAAAGAAATAGAGTTCCCCGTCTTACCGAGATGCCCCGCTGACGCTGCAACATGAAGGGAAGTTGTTCCTCCATTATCTTCCAGCATTAGAAGCCACCTGTAGGTCAAGAGGTGCTCCACCACATTGAGCTGCCCCCTTCCACAAGCAACAGAGAGCACGGTCTCTCCGTCGCAATTTTTCCGTGCGGCAACCCAAGGGTCGGCCTCCAATAACACCTCCATTAAACTGAAGTGCCCTTCTCGGCACGCTTCGTGCAATGGAGTTTCCATCTTCTCGTTCTCTGCCCACACCATCTTCGGGCGTAACTTAATGATCTCCGCAGCCAATTCGAGATGCCCAAACTTGGCAGCTATGTGCAAGACAGTGTTGAAGGATCGAACACTTGTTTGTTCAATAATGTTTTCATCTTCTCCAACCAGATTCAGGAAGGCTGACACATCGCCTCGTAGAGCCGCCTCATAGAACCTTCTATCCATATTCCGAGCACCGGAGGTGGACGTTGAGAGAGGATGAAAGGAGAATATTATGGGGTGCAGAATTGATGGCTAAGGGAAAGAAATAAGGAGGGCAAAAAGCTCCATTAATCCCCATTGCTGCGGCTGCCGTGAAACTTCTGTGAAGAAGATGATACATAAATTGTTTATTTATCCATTGACTCCGTGAGGTCAAGCCGACTGGTCCCCATTGGTGTTAAGCTTTGACACCGAGTTCGACCATAAGACCATAAACAAAGACAAGGTGATATTCACTGTTAACACGTGTCCAATATTGTCATCTACCTAGCGTATAGGCTTATATCACTACTGTGTGTCTTTTTATGCTTTCTCCACCGTACGTGTTGATAAGTCTCAGTTTGGGAGGAGTACAAATACAAATTTGAAGGGTGTTAAAACCTTGTATTTTGTACTCCTTCCAGGTCCAGCTTAAAGAGTTGTATATACTCGTATTTTCCAACACCTTCTACGCCCCATACAATCGACAAACAACAGCATATTAAGGTGTTTGGTGGGTGGCTCCTAATATCCTAATCCTATCCTACAATCCTACAACCCCCCCCCCAAAAAAAAATAAATAAATAAATAAAATAAAATAAAAAGAAGATGACTCCAAAGTCCAACTTGACAGCCCAAATAGTGGAGCAATTAGAATTAGGTGGGTTGTTGGGTGCAGGTTAAGCTACAACTGACTCTCATCAGCCCATTTACTACCCATTTGTACACAGAACTTAAATAGATGTGTTGTGGGCGTGTGAACCACTCACCCATAATCCATTGTCAATCCAAGTGCAAACCACCAGGCAGTAAATCAATTCGAATATTCATAGTGCTGATTTTGATTCGTTAATGGGGTAAATTGTAAATTAGTACCTTGTTGGGGCTAATCTCATTTTAAAACGTGCCACTATGTAATATCTGAATGGAAAAATCTATGATTTTAGTTAACACTGTCACTTTAGAAGAGAAAAGCATAATTTTGAAATAGACAAAATAGCCATATTTAACTATTTTTTTTTTTCACTGTGATTGGGTACCATTATTCACTTTATGTTAAGAAACCAATTCTTCTTGTGGGAGAAGCCACATAAAAAAACATTGCCAGATAAGACAACATCTTCAGGGTTAAAAGGATTTTTTAGTTATTCAATCCATAACCGGGGGGGGGGGGGTGTTGAACCACCATTGTTGCCGGAGAATACGAGTAATTCTTGCCAATGCTGAGAAGACAATCAGAGCAAAATATTAAAAAGGGGCAATTTTGATGAATTACTAACATCAAGTATTAAATTAGCAGTTTTCGAGAATTCAGATGTTAAATTGACACTTTTTTAAAATTCAGATACTAAAATGAGACTAACCCCAAAATTCATGCTACTAATTTGCAATTTACCTTTGGTTAAGTTCTAAAAGGTGAAATGGGTGGATGATCCGAGCTTCCGTTGGAGCATCCCATTGAAAAGGTTTAAATCTATTTTCGAAAACATAAACTGTATATGATTAGATATTGTCGTCTTTGGCAAAATCAGGTTTAATAAAGATTGAACCACTGTTGAAGTGAGAATGGATTGTGCTTTTTTTTTCATATTTATATGCACTTTAAATTAACTTATTTTTTATACCAAAAATAAAACCGGTTGAACCACAGTCATCCCGTCGAACCGGGAACAGGTGCTTTTCAGTTCAAAATCGGTTCCGGTTTTCAAAATATTACTCGAGTCCCGACAATACTCCATTTTTCTTGTCCCTGTGGCATTGAAGAAATAGAAAAGTGAGTGTGACAAATGTGGATAAGATAAACAAAGGCCACAAATAATGTACTCACACTACTCCCTCATCATAGAATAAGGTAAAAAAAAATCCAATTTAAAGGGACAACACACTTTCTAAGTGGAGCTGATCCTCCCACTTCCACTGAAACTCCAAAATCCAAGAAGATCGAAATGGTGACTCTTCCACTGAACCCTTATCACGCATTACCATCTCTCTCACTCTCTTCTAAGCTGAATTGGAACTCTACATGCCCCCAAAACCTTAAAGCCTTCAAGCGTCTATGCTGCAACAGAGGGAAAATCAAAGCTGTGGGAACGGGAACGATTTCCGGGAGTGAATCAGCAGAGCAAGTTACAGCTACAGAAGAATCTCCTTCCATCGATTTCGCATTTGTCAGTGTGAGTTCAAAGACATAGGTTTTGTTTATGCAAGGCAACCTGCAAGGAAGACAACTCTGTAGTCTGTAGTCATTTCATTTGTTCTCTCTGTGTCTTATTTTATTTGCAGCCTGTTCTACTTCCGGATGGAACGCCGGACATACACCTTCGGTCGGCTTGTGGTGGGCAGAAACTCAGAGACATCATGCTGGATAACAATATTGATCTCTACGGCCCCAGTGTAAGCTCTCTCTCTCTCTCTGTGTAACAGTTTGTTTTCCCATCTATTACGTGTACAGGACTTTATCCTAATAAGTGAGTGGCAAAGGCAGTAGCAATTTAGCAAAGCAACTGATACAAGTAGTTAATTAGAGTCCATGTGGGGTATTTTTGGTAAATACAAATGACAAAATTGACAAAGCAAATATGAAATATGGTGAGATAAAAATAAGAATTGCAACAGGAAAGGGCCCAACCGGGCTCGAACCGGTGACCTCTTGATCTGCAGTCAAATGCTCTACCACTGAGCTATGGACCCACCTGTACATTAATGCCTATAACTTTTACTTATTGAGTTATTTTATTGCTTCAGGCCAGACCCCTGTTAAACTGTGGAGGAGGAGGAACATGTGGAACGTGTCTTGTAGAGGTAACCCAGCTCGTTAATCCAGCATTTCATGTATCATTCATTTCCACGCTTAACCCAGTTCATATTAATGATCTCAGCTCATAAAAATTTCGTCACAGAATTGGATTCACAAGAAGTGATCCTAGCAGGCAGGCAGCAGTTTCCAATTGTTCATATCTTAACAGCAAAAAATGAAACCTTCTCATCTTGTTCTATAAAAATGGAATTTCTTTGTAGACCCATCTTTCTAATGAAACCCTTGGTGCATGTGATTTGATAGGTTGTTGAAGGAAAGGAATTACTAAGCCCTCGTACAGACAAGGAGAAAGAAATCCTAAGAAAGGTGTTGATACCAACCTAAAACAATCTTTTTTTCATTCTATTTTGAAATTAAATCTTTTTTTTTTTTCTTATCATGTCGTGAATTGCTAATTGCAGAAACCAAAGAATTGGAGACTCGCTTGCCAAACAATAGTTGGAAATGGAAATTCTAAGGGCCAGGTTTGTATATAACTATGCTTTCTTCTCATATTACAACACAACGCCACAATGTTGCCAATTGAAATGATTCTGAGCTTTATTTGATCACTAATTACACCAGTTTTATATATGCAGGTTGTCATCCAACAACTCCCTGAGTGGAAGGCACACGAATGGGTTTAGATAAAGAAAGCTGCAGTTTGGTTTGGGTACATCAATGATCTAATCAATACAGACAAAGCAATTCATCATTTCAAATAGAAATGGCCAGGATCTATCTCTATGCAATCTCAATCCAGATCAATGTTGTTGATTAGAAAAGAAAAAACCCCTTCACCATTTTCATTGCAAGTTCTTGTATATGTAAAATTACTAGGAGATTTTTTTCTGTACAATAAAAAAAAAAAGAGTGCCGATTCTACAGTTTTGGGATTGCAAGTGCAATAACATGTTTTAGGGCTAATATAACACCACATCCTGCATATACGGGTTCTTCTGTAGACCAATAAGCAATTGGGCTTTCAGATGGTCATGTAACTTTAATTTGGGGCTTAGGCCCATTAATTCATTCTCTTGATTTCCTAGAGAATCATATTATATTGCTCGGTACTGCGGTAGTCATTATTTTGTATATTCCAAACAGACACCAGAAACAACATTATTAATTATTGCAGGAATTTTGGTCCATCCAGCAACAAACTCCACAAGAAAAAGAAATGAAAGATGGCAACAAAAAAGCATGCATAGATACAATAGAAAGTTGGAAATCTACAATTACAACCACATCAATAGCTAGGGAGGTTGAACTTGTACTGTTGCACATCACCATAACCATCAATAGTCCCATACTTTCATTTCATCCATCGTCGTTGAAAAGGAATATTAATTTTGAACATGATAAGGCTTTACAGCTACATACATGGCAGGACAAACTGAAAGCAGATCACAAAGAATTATTTACCAAGCGATGCAAGCTAAGAATTGGAGGGAAGGATGTGTTTGTGTTGGTTTGGTCAAATTTAGAAATCGGTGGATAAAGGAGCATGTTCAGTACACATGAACACATTGCCGTAGATGAGCCCAGCTAAGCTAAGGCTCCGCCAATAAGGGGAGCAACCCACTACACCCAATTGTGTGTGAACTCTCCGCTAGCCACAGCGGGGCCAAAGGACCGAGAAGGGTTCATGGAGCCACCGGAGAAGGGTCCAGCTGCCAAGATGTTGGCACCGACGGGCAATAGGGGCGGTGGTGCCCAAGCATCCCTTCTTAGGGTCAGCAGCGGTTGCATAAATTAACCGTGTAGAACAGAGCGAAGGTGATCACAATCTCAAAAACAACTGCTTCAAAGCATCCAACACTGTGGACTGGAATTGTCTGCAGGTTTTATATATATAACAACAATTCACAAATGAGTGTGAGTTTCCTTAGTTTCCTTTTATTACATGAAGCCGTCCATTGAACTCACACAGACACAGACAGGCATCCACATATATGTTTAATTGTCATGTCTGAATCCAGGTTCTATTTCATGACTTGTTGTAATGTCATGTGATCGAGGAGGTTTTGCTGAAGAGGTTGTATGGTATTTTAATGTGGGTCATATATGTCGTTGGAAGCCCATCATGTAGTCAACTAAAATGGATAATGGACGACATTATTTGATGCAGCCTGGACTTCAACCTAACCAGCAATAACCCTTATCTGGTTCGAATTTGGAATTCGCTTCACCAGAAAAAAAAAAAGACTCTTCTCTGCTCTTCCTTAAATTGAAAATAACAAAACCCTCCTCGGGTTTGGGCTTCACCCAATCTGAGGTTAAGCCTGAATTTATCAGTGGCCCATCTTGAGCTTAACCCAATGAAATTGGGGTTCAGTTTGGGGTTGGATTGGGTCAGGTCAGATCTTATCAGGCTTGGGTGGATTTTAAAGAATTTATGAATATTTTTTTGCACGGTCATTCTTTATTAGGCTTTTTGTCCTAATATAAGAGTAGGATTGATTGAAAATGTGTATAAATTTCATTTATAGATATAAATATACATATTTGATACATATATCATGTATATATAATTAGTAAAAAAGATATAAAATATAAATAAAATGCATGCATTTATGTATTTGTTTGAATGGAGTTGAGTTGAATTGGGTTGGGGTAGGTCTAGTCAGGGTTGGGCTATGATGATATTTCAATCCAAGCCCAACATAAATTTTAAGTCAGGCCTGAGTTTTCTGATCCAGGCCTAACTCGTACAAAGCATTTGGACTCTGTCAAAGGAGTTCTGCCAAGTGTCACAGTAACACTCACTTGGCATCCTTGAAGGAAACATGCATGAACAATAACACTCAGTTGGAAAGAAATTCAAAACATCACATGAACTGCTTTTTAAGGAAATATACGTTTCTTGCAAAATGCCACGACGCTAGCTCCCAAATCCGTTTTCGTCTACACAGACCAGCGGCTTGCATCTCCGCTTGGTAGAGATAGATAGTTCAGTCCGGTCTGTATGATTTTGTCTCCAGTTCATTCGGACTGAACACTTGTACACCTCTCTCCATCAACAGTCCTAAAACCCTTCGAAACTTAGAGTTTCTCTTGTTGATGGTACAGTCCTAAATGATAAATTACAACCAAAGTTTGATCAAGTTTCATCGCTGATTAAGAAAGGTTAGTCTCTGGTGACCAACCAAATTATGTATAGTTTGGCAGTATTTGAACTTCGATACAATTTCAACCACTTGCACCAAAACTAAAATAGCTGAAATCAACTGAAGTAAACACGAAGGCTTTTAGGTTGTGTTTGGTTTATCAGTAAATAAATGTCAAGGTAGAATTCTGGCTGTGCATGTGGCAATTTGTCATATCAAATTATCAAGTTTACGTATCTAGAGTAACTATAACCAAGGAGGAAAGTCAAGGTTGTTATACCATGTGAATGCCATTAGAGCTCTAATTCAAAGTCATGGTCATTGTGGACTGTATAAAGTTAAACTGTACAGATGAATTTGAAAAAAAAAAAGAAAAAGACAATTAAATTCTGTATCTCTTTTGGTAAACAGAGCCACAGAGGTGGTTGAGCTTTGAAATGTGGACTGTATGCATCTCAAGCACAATCAAATGATCTTACAAATGCAATACCCTCGTTAGGCGGAGACTCAACTTGTTATTTTGACTGCAATACCACTACATTACTTGTATTTTACATTTTTCATGAGAATGATGCAATTATGATAATAACCAGCAGAACTCAATACAAATTTACTCTATTTTCTTTTATAAATTTGTTTAAGTAATCTAACTTATTAAATGAATTTGATCTTAATTTTAATTTTATTAAGTAGGATGGATTCAACTATGATACCAGAAAGACATGATATCCTTAAAAATTTGTGATCAATTAACTGATATCATAAACTGTTAATCAATTAGGTGGAATTTGTCAAAATTTAAGCATGGGTTTTGATTGATTGGTACCATGTCTTTCGGGCATGATAGATTTTTTAGTGGATTTACATCTTAACTAATCATTTTTAATTTAATAAGTGTCTTGTATATATGCACTTTAATCACAAGTGTCTTGTGATTCCCATTGACTACATTCTTTTTCAGGATTTACACAGTAAATATATTTTCCCAAGGTATTATTTATCTGGAGAAAGTGAAGTGTTACCTTTCTCCCACAAGAGATTAAATGCTTAAAATATAATATATTAAAAATACCCATTAAAACAATATAATTCAAAAGGCATTTACTTGGGCCCAAGGGTAAACATGACAAAACATAGAAAAAATAACCATTTATCTAGTAAAGTAGAGGTGAGGCAAAAGAATATGAGAAAGTTGGGAGGCCTTATTTACCAGGGAGAATTTAAAAAAAGAAAAAAAGAAACACGGGTAAGTGCACTTTCTTGCATGGTTTTTGAACTGGCACTGACCCGGATGGCCGGACTGTTTGTCCATAAAACCGTCCAGGAAACCGGTTCCATTTTACCCCAAACCTGATCCCTGGACAAAAACCGTTGATCCGGACAGTCAAACCATTGACCCGTTCAATGCTTTTGGCCATTTTTTTTAATTTTAATTATTTTTTATTTTTAAATTATTTTATTAGAATAGGCCGTCTATTCGAACGGTGGCCAAAGTGGTTCCGGCTTCAGGTCATTTTTTAAAACAATGTTTTCTTTGATAAATGACCTCTTCATAAACAAAAGCATAGACACCCGGCTGAACTATGTATCACGGTTGAACACGCCAATACTCACTGTGGGCCCCATCTGCGACCCAGCATTAGGAGGACTTACCAACCAGCAGGTTGGTAATTTTGATAGTTAAGTCATTCTCGTTAATTTTATTCACCAGATTGATTCTTGTATACTTATTACTCCATTTAATTTTCATCAATTTGTTAAATTCTTGGGTTTTTACCTATCAGCGGCTGGCATCTTAATTAACTAATAGATTTTCCTTGTTAATTATTAATCGATTAGTTTTTATGTTAATTGGTCTTGTCATTTAATTTCGTCTTTTCTTTAGGCACCTCATTAGTCGTTAGTATCTTACTAATTGCTTTTAGTATTACTTGTTGTTGGTTTGCTTCATTATGTAGTTATCTGTGGCAATTCAATTGATATTTTTATTTTTTAAGAAAGAAAGAGGAGGGGGGCATTGTAACCCTCAAAGCTATATAAGGAGCAAAAAGCTCTAGTCACTAGCTTATGTCGACCAAGACCAAAGATTCTTAACAAGAGTAACGAGGGTGAAAATCTTTATTTTCTTCCTATTACTCTTGCAGGTTTTTCATCAAAGGAATTGACTTTTCTTACAAGAGTAGAGTAGAGTAATTCTATTTACATCTACCCACATAACATCATAGCTACACCTATAATACAAAGATGTTCTCAATGCACGGAAGATGTGGAATCTATTTATAAGAGCATTTTAACTGAAAAAGGAAATAAGTCATTGAAATTAATAGAGAATACCAAATACAACCTTACGCATGTAACTTGTAAGGGCACCTATAGAGCTTGGTATATAAAGAGTAATTAATAAGGGCACGAATGCTTCTTAGTCCATCAACCCACTAGGCTCAATTATATACCCATTTTTTTTGGCACGTCGAACCATTGATTCAAATGTGGAAAGTTCATTGAATTGAAAGTATTAACAGAGTAATTTAATTGAATGCTGTAATCCCACTTGCACAGGGCCCCAACACAATTACAAAATGCCAGTTACGATGTGATGATCAATGCCGTCCATATTTTATGTATACACTACGTAACGTAGTACAAGGAAGATGAGAGTTATGCACATTCACCGGTCAGTCGGTCACCAGTCACCACACACATTGAATGACGGAACCAGCAGGCCGTTATATATCTGCTGCCGTGCTTTACACATAATGAAGCTTCATCGCTAGCTTAAATTACGAGCAAGGAATTAAAGGAAACAATTAATATAATCAAAGAAGACAGATCATTATTCATTACTGAATTTTTTTATCAATTCTTTTTGGTTTATTAATTATTAAGCCCTGTGCGTTATTCTAACATTCCCCAGGAATAAATGCATTTTCAGTATGGCCCACCTAA